CGCACACCCCAATGATTATTCTATCAATTACTTTCATAAACACTTTGCATTCTGCCGGATTTTTTCATGGTTCCTGATGGGAATTCTCCACCCGATGTGTTTTTCCTGCTGCTGTTCGTGCAGTCATTCAAGGCAATTACTTCTGACACTTCTCCTCATCAAATGTCTGTGCTTTCTTTTCCCTTGAAGAAGCTGACAGACGAGGGGCCTGACACTGGGAATAATTACGTTAGGACAGTGACAACTAATTTTAATCACAATGTTCCCTGTGAGGAAGGTGGCCAGTCGGCCAGCGGGGCTGCATATGGTCTGGGAGTGGGGCCGGGGTGGGCAACGGGGACCTGGAGGGAGCTGGGAGGCTGGTGGCTCCACTGCCCCTTCAGCCGGTGCTCTCTCCATCACAGATGCTTTGGGATTTTGGTTTATGGTGTGAGAAGGACTCGTCCACCTCAGGTTGCACAGCCCTTCCTGGGCCCCTCCGCCCGTGGCTCAGCCTGTGTCCAGCTCCTCCGTGGCTGTTTCACCCGGAGGTTTCATCTCCTGCCCGGCTGCCCCTGGGCGGGGAGCTGAGCACTGGGGCATTGGCTGTGCTGGATGCATTGGTACCTCATACCACATGCTCCACATGGAGCTGCTCTGGGATAAGCCCAGCAGTGGTGGGACAAGCAGAGCTGGGCAGGAGGGTGCTGTGCCCGTGAGCACCTGGTACCCGTGGGCCAGGAGCTGACACTGTGCCTGGTGTGGGCAGCGCTCTGCGGTGGCTGCTGCTGCCAGTCATTCGTGTTGTGGGTGCTGGTTGTGAGACCAGGGGGACTGATGTCCAGCAGAGCAGAGCTCCTGTCTGTCTCATCCTGGTTCTTGCCTGCTGCCAGGTGCCCTGCCTGCTGGGAATCATCCCCTGACAGGCACTGGCACTGAAGCGCGTGGCAGCTGCAGGACGGCGCTGCCGAGGGTCCCTCTGGGAGCTCTTGTGACGGGCCATTTTAGAGTTTTGCTGCTTATGCTATCAAAGAACTGCTCCTTCTCATTCCTCTCAGAGGGAATTTTCTGAGATCCACGACTCCCTGGAGCCAGCTGGGAGCAGCGAGTCCCATTGCTGGGGAAAGCTCCTTGTAGCCAGGGCTGGATGCTCAGCACCAGCATCTCTTCTGCTGTGGCAGCAAACCCCGGGCAAGGGGGGCTGCTGGGGGCACCCAGCTGGGATTGGCTTAAGGTTAATTCCAGCTCCCTGGAAAGGTGAGCACTGGTCTGAGTAGAAGCACTGCATGATCTGGATTTATTTTGTTTTTTAATTTATGTTGCAAATTTGAGCTAATTCTGCTGCTAATGTGACAGGAAATAGGGGCAGAGAAATGGCACTGGTGTCCCCGGCGTGCTGGTGACAGCCCTCCTGTCCCCAGCCAGCATTCGTGGCACACCAGCCTGGGGCTTCCCTTGGAAAGGGCGATTGCAGGATTTCTAATGGAGAGCAGCAATCCCCTGGCACTGGGGCCAGCACCATGGCACCTGCCAGCAAAGCTGGGACCTGCCCGAGCAGCTCTGTGTCTGAATCCATCCTGGGCTGCAGCCCTGGCCCTCGCCCAGCCCTACTGGTCTTTCACCACCAGAGCCTTTGCACCGGACC